AGATATTATTTTGCGACATTTCAATTTTATAATCAAGAAATAATAATTTTATTTAAACAATATGGAACGATACCCGATAAGCCGATTATTGTGTCTTATAATGGACTAATATATTGATGGTAAGTAGTACCTAACGACCAACAGTAACAAGACTCGAGACAATGAACAAAAAAGTGGGGCAACGTCATTAATTTTAAAAAATGAATTGTTGGGTAAATCCTCGTTTGCAGATTAGCCCTAAAGATAGGTTATCAACCTGTCAATAGGAACTTCTGTTTAAAAAGCAAAAATCAACCATTTTGGTTGCCTAAGCCACGGGGCTATGTTTGAGCCTATCGTGGTGCATCACGCTTACTCTGTGTTGAAAGCAAGTATTCCCTAGTGACTATTAAACAAGATATCACATAATCACCATTTTGAAAATTTTCTGGAATCTGTCAACAAATCTGTCAAGAAATATGTCGACATGTAGTCGTGGAAATTGACTTCCACTTGTTCCCCTCTCTAGTTTGAGGGCATTCAGCTACCTTACTGTAATTTTGTGAACTTTTGCTGAAATAGTTGCACCTCTTTTATTGTCAAATGATTACTAATTGACTAGAAAATAAAATATTTCTGATTAATGTAATAATTAATGTGGCTTAAAGTTGAAATTATTTTGCAAATCTGATTGTTTTTAGAACACTTCCCGGATTATCAATGCATGGTGTATGATTAGCATGATTTTCGTGTCTGCGCAGCTGTACAATAACCATACAACGAAGGAGCTCTCGTATGCAAAGAAACCAACATATTGTCTGGTGTTGATATTCTTGCATTCCCGAACAAAGGCATCACAATAGGCTCTTTTTAATGTCGCGTGAAAAAAGCAAGTATAACCAATAAGATTTTTGCAACAAAGCTGTTTACACTTTGTAAACAAGCCACATGTAGGTAGTTACAAAGCAATATAATGTTATGAATGGCGACATATATATAATCTCCGGGAGTCAGACACAGAAGAAGGTAAACCACGAAATTGAACGCAGCCACTCCCAGTCTTTTGACTTCTCTTGCTCTGTAGAAAAAAGGGTCAGGTTAATGAGAATCCGCTTTAGGTGTGGGGCCTAATGCAGGGGCTGCAAAGAAATGAAAGTTTCAAGTTCAAGAAATTGAGTTTACTGTAAGGGTCTGAGGCCCTCTAGTGCATTCAGAAAGTGAACGTGGAATGGACTCTCCACAAATGCTTACCTAAAACGCTCACCTTCCTAATGGAGAATCGCACCCTTGTTTAATTATTTTTTGTGTTTGATTCTTTCTCTAATAATTTGGGAAATATTCTCAACGATTGTTAAATACAATTGCTTGAGTAATAATTTCTCGTTTCCGATTGTTCTAAACATGATTTAATTAACTGCTATTGTTTTTTAGACTTACACTTCCGAGAATATATTCACATGCAATTCTGGCCCCCACTAAGCATTACTAATTCTTCATTTATTAATTAGAATATCAAATTAATCATTAATTATACACACAAACCAGGTTGCATAGGCTCCAAATATAAAAATTACACCCATGCGTCAATTCCAGAGCAGTCTGCCGCCTTTTCTGTAGGTCTAAGAAAATATTCTCGTATGTGGCGTGGAATGTGCGTTTATGCGCAAATGAGGTTTCGATCATGCAATCGAATGTTACGTAAATGCACTGCAATGCATACAGGAATAATTTTTTTCGTCCCTTTTTCGAAGCGAAATTTCAGTGCTTCTTGCATCGGAGATCTCTATAGATCACCGAAGCTTGCTGCTTAAGAGTTCATCAAGAGATATTTAACCTTTAAACAAAGCTCAGGGTTTACTTTCAAAGCATAGATTTGAGTTGGTATTGTCCTTTGTTCGAACTGAAATTACTTTAACTGTATTTTTCAGAACCGGTAAAAAATATTTTTCGAAGAAAGTTAAAATCTTGGCACAGGAGTTAAAAAAAAGTATGTACGAAAGGTGAAATCGGTGATGTGTCGCATTTATCGCACTAATATAGGAATACAACCCCATAAGGGGTCCTGGGCTGCATGCTTTCCAGCTCGTTACTTGCATTTCTCACGAACTTTGATGGATCTGATACGACAAGCTGCTTCTATAATCAAATGTTTTTTTTCGTTGACATCAAGCTCCGATCACTCATAAGGTATTGTCGGGGTTTGCAACTGAAATTCAGCCGACATCCGCGGTGTATTTCGGCGGGCTGTTACTAAATATAGATATAGCGGTCATTCCGACAAACCGGCGTGTCTGGATATTTACAATACTGACAGGTTCGAAAGCTGTATTTCTTTGCACTGGATGGGCCCTTGGTTTTCTTCAGTATAGTTTGGACTTGTTTTTAAATGCAAATTCTAGCGGTGATGATTAAGGGGAAGACCCATGAGCCTCAGTTACGCAGCAAATGCATGATAGATGCGAAATCTAAAATGCCATACAGGGGTTTGAAAATTAGTCACCTCAGCAACACACAATATCAATTTTTTTTTTTGGCTGATCGATGTGAAAAAATAATTCTGGATCTGCGTTGGAATGCTCGGCAAATTTTTTGTACAAGAAATCGTCTGGAGCGCCGTAATTGACAAATTAAACTGAATTAAACTTCATATCTATTTATTCATCCTTTGAAATCGGCTTCAATTGTCATACCGGTAATATATGAGCTCCTAGAGTATATTGATGACACCCTCACAAGTTGCGAATGAAGTCCATAAATAATATTGCCGTCTTTCGCAACGCAAAAAAAAAATGGTGTGATACCTTAAAACTAAATAATATCAACAATAAGTTGTAAAAAATAATCTTGCATAGATCCCAATGTGCATGATCGCATTCTCAAAAATATATTATTTTTTTTTTAATTAAACAGAAATGCGAAATGACGAATGGGTTTTAGTCACCATTTCAAATATGATCAAAGCGCAGTTACCGCATATTTGCTGCAAAGGGAAATTCTACAAACAACCGAGCTTTAAACAACAAAGCAACCCAAACGCGCAAAATCAAACATGCGCTTAACAAACTATGTTACCGATTCTTTTGAATAGAATCCTTTGTGGAGTGAAGTCAACCAAGACGCGATACAAATGCGTGGGGAATCAGATGCTGCTAAATACCGGGCCTAGATCGGGAATCTTTTATTGTAGGGCTGTTGTACGCTCAATAGTCGGATCTTAAACAGCGCCAGACAAACTGAACGATACGAAACAAAGTCGTTTGGATTATGTGTCTTGTTGAACATTTTGTGTCGGAGAGTTCTTCCTTAGGCAGTTCTTGACGAACGTAAATATGCACTTAACGCCGACAGTCAATAGGGCTTTGGGAAATTGGGACCTAATGAAGGGCGATCGATTTAGAAACTGAGCCATGAATTAAACACAAACCACAAAGATATGTTTATTTTAGGTTTTCTTGGGTTTAACTACCGACATTATACTTCAGATTTTAGGGTCCAATAATTGACATGTCCACTCACACAAAGCCTAATGGTTTATAAATGTAGAGTAGGTGCCGTCTCTTTTTATCATTAACGGATCTGGATTTGAACTTTTGAACAATAAGCTTATTCTTTCCTTGAAGAAGTTATTTGTGTGTGACTGAATAAGACTATTGGACATCAGAAGCTGTTGATCGAAATTATAAGATATAATAAGCGACAAGGGAAAATAACACCCGTCTCAAGTGAACAATGGCTACGTTGTGAATTGTTAAACAAAAGTAAATGTGGAAAAAAATTTCCACTGGCGCTTTTTTTGTCGGGAGAGGTTTCGTTAGGAGGGCCATCCCCAACATAATGCGAATAGTTAGGATGGCACGGAGTTCAATTGTGTTGCATTGATCCCATACCAAGGCCAAGTTAATAAGTGGGTGCTCGGCATCGGCTTTATGACATTTTCCCATCTAAATCCGGATAATAGATAGGAGTTGGTAAAAAATAAAACAGACAAAAATCAACAGAAATTTCTAAGGCATTTCAATAGAGGATATAATTCCAGACATTTTTTTCTCCGTCCGACTGCCTTGTGGTCTAGTTCCAGGCTAGGCTTCTTCTATTCGACCAACAGCCAAACATTTTATCAATTGAGTATCTAGCTATTTAATAAAGCAGACTCCTTAGATGAATCGAGTTTTATGCTGGTAAGTTGATCCGAAACTCATTGCATCGGTTGTTTTTAGGAGGGGAGAGAACCGTGACCATTTACGAAAAATTTCATTGTCAGACAACTGACCTGAATTTCTGAGAGAATAATTTGGCTGAGAATATTTTTAGCTTTTTTTTTGTCTGTTTTATTTTTAATGAACATTCTTCTTAATAAAATATAAAATTTCGTCATGCAAAGGTTTAAATATTTAATACATTCTGCATAAAATATTTTTAAACCTTCATCTTAAAAAATAAATTATTTTTAAAATTTTAAATTTTTTATAAAACTTTATTTTATTTTTTTATTTTTAACTTTTAAATTATGGAATTTTCCTGTTTCTTTCTTTTATATATAGAGCTAAAAAATTTCGTTTAAGGTTTTTTTGTTTATCTTTTGTTCTTTTTTTGAAATTCAAGCACAGAAAGATCCCATACAGAATCTTTAAGGAAAGAGATTTAGAAAAACTACGTTACATTAACTTATATAAAGTACAACAAGTAACATATATAATACTCACTTATCAGAAAAGAAAGACAAGCAATCTTATTTTTCTCCACAATCAAAAAAAAAGAGAGAGAAAGATTTATTTTTTTTTCTTGTTAAAATTGTTTTACTGCCATCTTGCATATTCACCTTTCGGAGAACTACAAACATTTACCAGAGTAAAGTATCAACCCCCCTCCCAAAAATATATCACTTTAAACTAGGGTACAACTGGAACAGCCTACTACTTATACTACCTATATCTTATCCAAAATACTCAGAGGACTCTAACTCGTTTTCAAAAACAAGAAAGTCCTAAGCGAGATTTAATCAACAAAATTAATATTCATTTATGTCAACATACTCCGTTTCTAGTATATCATTAGATCACATGAACGGGAACTTCAATGCCTCAATGCCCCAGCAAGGTATTGCGGCATCATCAACACTGCAACAACAACAACCATCCCCATCACAGCAACAGCAACTGCAACAACTGCAAATCCCACCTCAAGCATATGCTTCTTATTACATGTATAATCAGCAAACTCCACAACTGTCAATACCACAACAACAAGCAGATTATGGTTATGGCAGATATCAATACAGCGCAACCACTGGTGGTGCCTCGACTACTTCAAATACTAGTGCAGGAACCAACCCAACCTACTATCAACAACCAATGCAGCTGACTCAAGCATATGCCACGAGAAACTTGCCAAATCAATCCCTGATACTAGATCCACTTGATGCCCCTGCCAATTCTACAATTGGTCAATTTCAACCCCCAGGCATAAGACCAAGAGTGACTACTACAATGTGGGAAGATGAGAAGACATTGTGTTATCAAGTCGATGCCAACAATGTCTCTGTGGTGAGAAGAGCAGATAATAATATGATCAATGGTACAAAATTATTGAATGTCGCCCAGATGACTCGAGGTAGAAGAGATGGGATATTGAAATCAGAAAAGTTAGACATGTTGTTAAAATAGGTTCAATGCATTTGAAGGGAGTTTGGATTCCATTTGACAGGGCATTGGCTATGGCTCAACGTGAGGGAATTGTTGATTTATTGTATCCTTTATTTGTGAGAGATATAAAGAGAGTTATTCAGACAGGTGTCACTCCAAATTCTGCCAACGCCGCTGGTGGAGTAGCTTCAACTGCAGGTTCAGTCAACTCAGGTACATCTGCTGCTGCCGGAACAGCTGGCCTTGCTTCTTCTGCACATGCTACCACAAGCCCAATAAATGCTAAGGGTGTTCAACCCAATTACTATCCACAATACAATCAACAATATTCCTCCAATCCCCAACAGCAGCAACAACAAGTACAACAACTGCAACAACAACAACAGCCACAATATGCGCAACAATATTCAACTCCCCATCAGGCGGTTGCCTCCACTAACTCTACTGGACAGCAATCTCCTCAACAACCTGCTGCCGTTAGTGCCGTGAGTGAGCCTCAACAATATCAACAACAACAACAGCAATATGCTTATCATCAAGGCTACTATGGGGGCGCAGCCAATGCTCAAACAAATGCCAGCAACCAATACTACCAAGCATACTACAACACAAACTACGCTCAACAACCTCAACAAGGCTATCAATATGGATATCAGGTCCCTCGAACACAAGGACCACCTCAACAACAACAAGCCCAACAGGGTACTCCAAAACAACAGCAACAACAAATTCCACAACAACAGCAACAACAACAACCAAATCCTGTCACTGCTCCTTCTCATCCATCCCCTCATGGATCAGTGAAAAGGCATTCTCCACATCTGCTTCAAGCACAACATCTGCTGGCCCAAGGCTCTGATGAACAGAATCCTTCCATGAAAAAGGATTAGTTATATTTGCATATTATCACCCCCTGGCATGAAATGTTAGATTTGTGTATTTTTGTCACTATTATTGCTGTTAGATGAGAGTGTTATGAAAGGTTTAGAGAATTAATCATATTATATTGTGTCATATTGCTTTATTATTTATTACTTAAAAGGGTTACTTTATTGGGTTCTGTTTATATCCTGGCGTATATATCTTTTATTATGTTTTTATTACTACAGTTAGTTAGTTAGTTAAAAAAATGAATCCTTATTAATTACTATCTAGGTGCGTTCTTGTAGAGTGAAGGGGGGGTGTCTGTTCTTTGCTGAACTTGTCTTTGGAAGAGACAGAGTTGACGTCTTGATAAGTATGAACCAATTGCAAATCTACAATGCTTAAAAAAATGTAGGGATAAGCTATATCATCGACCATTCCTTCTCCTCATCGTCAACAGGAAAAACAATGAACTGAGCCCTGTGTGAGGGACAAATAGAAGAAAGGGATTTAGGAGATAAATTACATAAAAGAGTTGATGTCACACATTATGTCACACATTGATGTCACACGCCTGTAATTTCAAGATCTTGCCTCCAGCTACGCCCCATGGCTGGCATCCGGTGATTTCATCTTCTTTACCGTACAAAGGAAAGATGTGGTTGACTAAAACTTGATATTTTTTTATTACGCGTGTTTGATTTCTTCTTATTCTAGACAATCATATGCATAAGGGATTAAATAATATTTCTGCAAGATGGTTTATTATTATTTTATGCATGATGAATTTTTTTATTTTTCTTGTTCTACCAGAAGTGCGTCACTACAATATTTTAGTTTCCGGAATGTTCGCATTATACATGTACTTCTATACATGGGTGATCAAAACGCCGATCAACAGTATTCGTTAATGATTCGTATTCACTCCAAATGATTGAAAGTATTTTTATTGAATTTTAACTTTAAGCAACGGAAGTGCGCTTTAGCTAAAAGTTGCTAGAAAATATGTGAAACATGTGTGAAGGGACATAAAATAATTCCTGTTAACCTTTTTCCTGTAGTTGAGAAGGAGATTTAAAAAAAATAAAACATTCGATTAACTTTAAAAATATTTTTTCATCAAATATTATTTAATTACTACGATGTGCATGTACATTAATTAATAACTTTTCTCATAATTAAAAAACAATTAACTTTCGCGATGTGTCCCTCAGTAAAAAAATTAAATTTTGCGTTTGAATTTTCTTTCTACGCGCATACTTGCATTCCATTTTTATGTACAATTCGGGAAATATTGCTCTTATTAAATTCTAATTCTGGAACTTCGTCTATTTTTTATTAACGGGTGCTTCCTTCCAACCATATTATTATCGGGAAAGGGAAAGAAAATGCGATCTAGATGATCACTTCCAGCACGCAACGACTCTTTTTCAATAATTCACCAGGTACCACTTGTTACTCTTTGATTATTTTTCTTTGAATCTCTGATTCGTCGCTATAGGTTTTGAAAAAAGGAACTTACAGGTTGATGTAATGCATGACGAGATCTATTACATTGCATTGCAGTACATGCAAAGAACCTTGTGTCAGGAGGCTTGTATCATCGCATGCAATTTTCGTCATTTTTTCGACCCATCGATGTTTCGATCGTTATTTTCATTCGATCTCCGTGATCTCAAATAATGCGCAAGCGAAACAAAGGAACGGCTTGTAAAAATATTATATATCTTCAAGACCGAGGTTAAACAAGATAATTCACATTTCCGATGTATGAACCTTGAAGTTTTGAGCCGCTTAATTTTAGATACTTCCCTTTCTAGAATCGAAAGTCAGTTCCCAAGACAACTACAAGCAAGAAATCCAATTATTTTTTATTGATTTGTAACCGATCGGAATTTACCTTTCTAGGATAAAGGTTACAATTCCACTTCCACACCCTGAACTTCTTCATAAATAATTACGAGCACACGGAGACACAAAGAGGAAAATTTGGATAATATCACTAAAAATTAGAATTGTTTGTTTAGTGCACGAATTTCATGTCTCAATGTTTTGAAAACCACTGTTTGATATCCACGGCTAGTTGGAGTTTTATATTATTCGGAAGCCAAGACTGTAGACATTTCCAAGTTTACTAATGACCATATCGGATAGGCTGATGTCTTGAGATGCCACTTCAGGTATGCAATGTTCAAGAGGTGCATATCAATAACGTGGCAAAGCAAAATTGCCGACTCGTCGTTTAAGCAAAAACTGAACATGTCAAGCTAAGTTGGTCTCAGGCATTTGTCAGAATTATGCGAGCATATATTTAAGAATGTGCATTGTCTATGCGATGCTGCTTTTCAAAGTAGTGTTAACATTTAATTACAGGTTGCAGATAGATGCTGGAGACAACCTTATAATTACACCAAAGTCATCAGAGTTGACCTTTTGACATTGAAACCTTCACTTGCGTTTCAAAACAACATAAACGATGCAAAGAAGTTTCCTAAGCATGGAAATTCCTTTTCTGGATATGAACTTATCAAGTCATTTACAGTAGGACGTGTGGAATCGGGATTGGAGAATGAAACTGAATAGAATATCCCCTGTTGGTTACACACTCCCCAGGAAACTCATTTTCAAGTCTCTCTAAACGCAGAATCAGATTGCTAACATCATTTTCAAAATCGAATCCTTTCAGAATGGCACGATACAACTTGTTTGCAGAATGACAGTCACTCTAAACAGTTTATCAGGGACATTTAAGAGGGGTATCTCTCTGCAGTTGCAACTAGCAAGTCGTTTAATGTTGTCCAACCTGTTTCTCCCTTTCTTCCTTTCTGGGATTTAGAGCGAGAACCTTATTCATTTATATATTCATATACTTAATGTCTTGCTAGCCGATCTATCCGAAAGAATCGTCCGCTCGATTTAGTACACACATCAAAGACCTTCCGTCTCATATGAGATTCAGAAGTGGGAACCTTAGTAACACTCTTATTTCTTACAACTAGTAGTCAAATACCTATTAATTATCTTTCGTCCTTTGAGATTCAGTTGTAATATGATTGGTTTTCAAGTCAAGTTCGTTTGCGAATAAATCACTTTTCGCCGAAGAGAAAAGAATTGTTTAGTCTCAGGGTTGTAAAATCACCAAATTAAAGAAAGCTACTGTCCTTAGATTACGATAGAACACCTTCATTTTCCACTTTGGATAGCAGGTTAATTTCTGGTGCATTCTAAGGTTTATCCAAAAAAGTCTGTTTCTTGAACTGATTTCAAAAACTTACTTTAAGAATGTAACTGGCCGCTATTTAAAAGTTGATTCTTATTTGCCTTTTGTGTATTTCCATTCCCAGTACACTTTTTAGATATAGTTTGATTAGCAGTATGCGTTTTTTCTAATTATTGCTAAGTTGAGTGGTACATAGAAAAGGAAATGTTTTTAATAAAATTGCTGCAAAAAAATGTGCGAATTTGTTTTTTTTGCAACCATCAAAACTTTATATCATAACTTTCTGCACTTTCGTAAACAAAACTACCACAGAAAAGAATTACTCTAAATATACTCCAAATATTTGGGCCTAGCAGTTATAGGTGTGTTATTCCCTTTTTTGTTCAATGCCCTAGAGAAAGACTATTTGTATGATGGGAGCAGTACCGACAACTCATTTCATCAGACATTGGATTCCAACTAGATTTTACTCCAAGCTTTTCGGACTTAATGAAGGTTCACTAAATGTTGATGGAACCAATAAACCGATTATGCATAAGCAAAATCATAAATAGTTTGAACACCAGACAAGGACCTTAGCTTAGCCTATATTTCGGTTAATAGCCTCTTAATTTCAATAAGCAGGGACCTTCCATATGCTTAACTCCTCTTACTACATGCATATATCATGGAGATTCACTTGCGGGCTGTGGATGATGATGCTGTAGTTCGTTCTTTGGAAAACATGCTTGGGTTATCTCATCCTCAAGCAAACCACATTGAATGGAGAAAGAGAGCTAAAATTTTTTTTTTTACATATACAATCTGTTTATTGAGTTCTTATACATACTAATATACAGAAATATAACAAACAGAAAAACAATATACTTTAAAGGCAAAAAGCATCATTGCCTAAAACCTCATTTCAGAACCATCTTAGAGACTAAGTGTATAAGTATAATTATTAAGACTCTTGGAGGTGTACGATACCCATTTGCGAATGAATTGGACCGTGAGCTCAACGTTCCGGCCCCCTGCACGTCGAAATAGCTAATATAAGTTTTCTATGCCACATAAAGCTAAATTCTGTTCATTGGCTTGCTAGATATACCAGAAATATACATGAACAGAATGGAAATATATAGAAATATACAGATTGTGTTTTTGAAAATTAGAGGGAGACCACGCATATTCGAGCAGGTGACAAACACATGACTTTCACGTGAAAATCATGTGAATATCATGCTTTTTTTTTCTTAAAATCATATATATTTGTAGCCTATATAAAAACGAGAAGAATCTATATAGAAATATAAATATATGCGCCTCCTGGACAATGTAAGGAGGGATTCATACTTATAACTCTAAGTGGTTCAAAAAACCTTTTATAGGCTAACTATGTCAGAAGACACAGTCTCGTGTGAGAATCTCCTAAAATAGGCATACTCACTAAAAAAACCAGCTTTTTCTTAAGTTGCAACATGTTTAACATTAATAATTGGACTTGGATTAAAACTGTAATAAAACAACGGTTATGGATAATAAAGGTTTAAAAGAAAGGAAAAAACGAACGAGCCAACAATTGTTCAATGTCAGCGTCGTCGTCGTTCCACTTTCTGAATGATAACCTTTAGATATCCATTTATACATTTGAATTCTCGAGGGGAAAGCCTAGGGTTCCCCAATATATACTCCGCTGTTAGTGACTGATTTGACTTTTGACTCCATATCTCTAATGATTCAGGACAATAAAAGATGTGATGTAACAAGTTATCACCGCCTGGTCTAGCACAAAAGGAGCAGGCTCCTCTAAGCCAAACCAAGCCG